AACTTAACCTAACTTCCTTAACAGCAACCCAGTTATGGCAGGTTAGGATTTTTCGGCTAGGTTAAACAGAATCAAAGAGCACTCTAACAGGAGCCCTGGGAGGGTAAGTGCTCTTTGATTCCTTGGGTTAATATGCCTTTTATGGTCATAAAATCCTAACCTGGTTTTTGGTGTAGGCTTTTTTTTGACACACTCTTTTCTGCCTGCATGCAGTCGGAAGGTAAGAGGGTTTAGGGTTCAGGGATCAGGGTTTAGGGTTTAGAGTTTAGGGGGTTTGGGGTGTTGGGCATCTAGGATTTCGGGCTTAGGGTTTAAAGCGCTTTTGCGAGCTATAGTCTAAACTCCTCACATTCCCCTTAAGAACCCCACAGTGGCCGCCTATATAATCCCCTACAAACCCCCCTTTGAGAAATTACACTATAGCTCATGTAATAAAGCTCAAGGCTTAGGGTTTGCTGGAGAGGTTTTGGAATTCAGGGGTTCAGATCTCCGGTGCTGGAGGTTTTCTGGGTTGCCGCCTCGGAAATTGGATTACATTCCTACAATAAGGAAACCTTATTACTTACTGTATACCCATATAATTAGTTACTACACATACGGAAACTCTATTACTTACTATATACCCATGTGACTAGCTACTACCATAGGGAAACCCTATTACTTACTAACCCTAAACTCTAAACTCTAAACCCTAAACCCTAAACCCTAAACTCTAAACCCCAAACCCTGAACCCTAAACCCTATGTACTCATATCTTCGGCCTTTTGGGCATTCACTGGCTGGTCCCCAAAGCCGGGACAGACCACCACAGGTACACCAGCAGCGAGGGATTCCATGAAGCTATTCTGGCCTGAACGATGAGGGTTTAGGGTCTAGGACGTGAAGGTTTAGGGTTTAGGATTTAGGGTTTAGGGTTTAGGATTTAAGCGTTATTGCTGCAATTCCCGCAAACTTTGTCATTGTTGTAAAGGATGATGAGGCTTTGCTGGCCTCCATGTGTGAGGAAGATGTCCACACCAGCCCGCAGGAGGTCTACCTGGGAATTGCCACAGAGAAGCAAACTTTTTCCAGGGGTCCTACAATATAGTGTCCCCAAATCTGAGATAAATCTTAACAGTCCTGTTTTGGGAGGGCTCCCAATGAAAGGGATCCCAAGATTTTGAACGTTTTCGCTTTGGGCTCCCTCAATTTAATTCGGAACCGGCACCTGGGGCAGTACGGGCATGCAGACGGCGTTGGGAGGCACCTTCAAGCCATCAAGGGCATCCTTCTGTGGACCCACTGACAGGAGGATGAGTGGCGACTGCTCCATGGACTCTCCATCTTTGGCACCAAACGTCTCAAAGACCTGGCTTGCTGTTAAGGAACTTAAATTAAGTTACTGTAATGGGTATAT